AAAAAGGAAAAGAGCAAGACTGTAGAGGGGTCAAGGCCAGATGTCAAAATCTCTGACAACCCAGCAGCATGTCATTTGACTGTCCCAGGGCTCCACAAATGTACATGTCATATCAGGGCCTGCAAGACTGTCACTAAGTCACCTTCCAGAACAGCTGCTGCCCTGGGTATGTGATATACATCAATACTTGATACATAAAAAGAAGATCCCATGCTGGATAATCCACCTATTCTTGTTCACCCAGAGGGGCATTTCCAATTCACAGCCAAGTCCACCCCTAAAATTGTCCAACACTTCTCAAATGCTCTTTTATTTCCAGCCAGCTACATATGGCCTATGAGACTGGTCTGACAGAGCCAATGTAGGGCTGTCCCTCAGCCAGTTGGCAGCAGGTAGGGCTACAATCTGTGCAATGAAGACAGCACTTCAGTGAACAGGCACCTTCCCCAGACATGACTCTTTGGAGCCAACTGAGAGCCTCGGCCCCAGCACCAGATGCTCTTTTATGCCAACTGCCAACTACAGCCAAGGAAGACTGGCATCTAGGGGCAGTGAATGCAAAGCACTAATTTTATTCCTGTTCTGGTTACTTATTTTAGGAGCTCTGGTAGCTTAGTGCCTAAGGCACCTGATTGCTAACCAGAAGGCTGGCAGTTCAAACCCACCAGCCACTCCTCGGAAGGAAGATGGGATAGTCTACATCCATAGTGATACTGCCTCAGAAACCCAAGGAGGGGTTGCTATAAGTTGGGTCTGACTTGACGGCAGATAACAACAACAACAACAACAGTTACTTATTTTAGTTTTTATCTATGCATCAAATCCAACGTTTTTCTTTTATGAAGGGCCACAGGTTATCCTTTAAACAACTAGACTTCAAACACTGCAAGCTAAGCATGAAACAAGAATGAGCACTGGAACTCAAATATTAATATATGCATCCTTATTGAAGTGAAACAGTAATAACTAAATGGTTGTGGATGACTTTTCTGTAGAAAGAGACACAGATTTTCTCTTACCCTCCCATTTTGCAGTCTCCAGTTCCACCTTTCCAGGCTCTTACATACTTTGGATTGGCCAACAGGGACACTGGATTAAAGGTTCCACTTGCAAAATACGGTCCCACTGGACTCAGAATTACAAAGAGCAGGGCTTTGGTTGGCTTCTTGACTCCAAGGGAAGGCTACAATCAAGTAAAAGTAAGCACAGTTGTAATTTAAAATGTAGATATCAGCCTTCAAGTTTAGAATAGGTCTGTAACTATAACCCAGAAGGGGTCATCTAATAACAGTAACTAGTACATCTAAAGTTGATTCACACAAAGACTGATAGTCTTATATGAAGAAAACACTGAGCATAGAATCCTTAAGTTTCTTTTTGCTTTGCTTTCTGAGCTGTTAGGATTTTAGAGGAAAAGCTAATTTATAACTCTTCTCTCCACCTTTGTTAGTAGGGCAAGCACATTTTGTTAGTAGGAGAAGCATATATTAACAATTAGCATATTTTAACAATATAACATCTTTCAATGTCCTATGGATTGGGTATTAGGAAAGTGAAGAACCCAGGCATGTTCTTTTGGGTTGAAATATAAAATTTGCTGCACTAACTTCCCCTCTGGCTCACAGCCTAGTGGCCCCTTCTGCATGTCAGGGCCTCTATCAGGAGGTTGATTAGGGGAGTGTGCCATCATCACACCTGACGACGTCAGGCACTAGATAGCAAGTGTGTAGCTTCATAGGTATTAGAGACGCCAGACAAGATCAAAGCCAAAAGCCAAACTCACTTCCACTGAGTCAGTTCTCACTCATACCAACCCTTTAGGACAGAGTAGAACTGCCCCATAGGGTTTCTAAGGGTGTAAATTTTTATGGAAGCAGACTGCCTTACCTTTCTCCAAAGAGCAAGAGATGCCTTCAAAAAAGGCAGATGATCAATGACTCTGGAACTTGTACCATAAATAGCAAAACAGAAGACAGCCTTTCCCCAAAATACTGGGGAACCATAAACCAACAATGCAAAATCATACAAATTCCTCCATCATAAAAACAGTTAAAAACAATTAGGATCAATTGTTCATTAGAGAGAAGATTAGAAAACCAGAGGAATGCTTTGAGGCTAGATATTTTAACAGCAAAAAGTTATTGTGCTATCCTGTACAATTTGAGGCTAGAGGAAGTAAGAAAACAAGTTAGGACTATGATGTTAAGTGTCCTGGGATACAAGCCACTTGTTGCATCCAGTCTTCCCTAGAGCTTGGTCTGCCTGGAGGGGCTGTCACAGGAAGGATGAGAGTAAACAAAAAGAGCATCAATTCCAGCTGATGTTGTGGTTATTTCATGTTATATGAAAACTGTCTGAAAGGGAACTTTAAGATATTTTTTCTGAATTATACTTCCCCACATTGCTCACTGCCCCATGACCCTTCACCTACTGCTACCAAAGATTATCAAGTATTAGGTAGGTGAAATATTCTTAAGCATAAAATGTATGTATGTGCACACTGATGTTACCTGAAAAGCATGCAGCACTTTGGAAATGGATGTCAACACCACTAGCACTACGCACAAAGATGAGGACCAGGCAGGTCTAAGGACCACAGAGAAAACGGAGGATGGTTGATCCATAACCAAGAAATTAGTCAGCAATATCAGTATTTGGTTTTTTATTTGCTTGTGTCTATTCTTTTATGTGTGCTAGAGATAAAAGAACAGCCCTACCAATAAAGGATAAGGAGCCTTAAAAGTCTCATTTGCCTGTTTAGGTCTCATTGTTTGGTAAGGAAAAGCTCAGGATAATATGCCTATCTGCCTTTCTTTCCAGCTTTGATAAAACTTGACCATCACATTTCTGCAATTTATTTACCTATCACTTAAGTATGTATAATGATACTTTTTCCATTTCAGGGATGCTTGGAAGCTTAATATTTTAAATCTTTTTATGGACTCTTGTAATGGGGAATAAAGAGAAGCTTCTCAGTAGAATTTAGAAATAATAAAATTCAGGACGTAGTCAATAACTGACATAGTGTTATGGACTGAATTGTGTTCTCGAAAAATGTGTTGAAATCCTAAACCCCATACCTGTGGATGTAATCCCATTTGGGAGCAAAGTTTTCTTTGTAGTACTGATGGGGCTATATCTGTTTAGGATGTGTCTTAAATCCAATTACATGTGAGATACTTAAAAAGAGCAGATTAGACCAACCAGCACACTCAGGGTATAGACAGATGCCATCTGTAGATTACTAAGGAACACAGCAATGCTGAGACAACAGAAGCTTAAAGAAACAAGGATCTTCCCAAGAGGTGAAAGAGAGAGGAGAGCCTTTCCCCAAAGCTGATGCCCTGAATTCAGACTCCTAAAAGGAACCCTGGTGGTACAATGGTTAAGCTCTGAGATGATAACTGAAAGGTCAGGGGTTCAAACATACCAACTGCTCCATTGGAGAAAAGACTCGAACACCTGTGCCCATAAAGATTTACAGTCTACCTGTGGGGCTGTTCTCCTCTGTCCTACAGGGTCACTATGAGTCAGAGTAGACTCAACAGCACACAACAACAAGCCTCCAGAACTGTGAGAAAATAAAGCCAACCAACAGTGGTATTTCTGTTACAGCAGCATGAGGAGACTAAGAAACCTAGCTTCCAATTTTCTGAGTCAAATAGCTCGTTTGGAAACCTGATAATGTTTTATTAGGCATCACATTGATGCCCAGGTCTTTTCTATCTCTGAACTCATGTATTTTATAAAACATGAACTATACTAAAAAAATTATAATGATAATTAATCCGTCATCCATTATTTTTTTTTCGGAGATAAATTTCATCTTTGCTATTCTTTTCCCTGGTTTTAAATTACAGTAAACTTGCATTTATTCCACTAGGTGGTAGTATAGAGAACACAGATGGAAAACAATAATTCTATGCATTAAAACTACTTCTAGAAAAATATTAACAAACCTAGACTAGAATTTTTTAATGTAGAGAGAAAATATTAACAAACCTAGACTAGAATTTTTTAATGTAGAGAGAAAATGTGTATATATGTACTAACATTTTATTTTCTGAAATTTAAGCAAGGTCAATTTATGCTTTATAAATGCTTCAAGAACTGGTGTTGATTACAGATTAGTCAGCTTCATCCTTAAATGACTACTTCCATTGTCTTTTCTTGAAAAGAACTCTGTGACTTCATTAAAAATGGTCACACTGCTTCAAGATTAAGAATAAATAAAATGTAACTATATCTAACAGGAAGGGAGCTTATTGATTAGGTCTGCATCCACTCTCAGAGACCATTATTTACTTCTTTCTTTTAATTCTCCCTTTATGCTGGAAAGCAATTTAAATTCTGTGCTGCTACTGCGTTTAAGAGTAGTTTATTATATATTAATCAAATGGCAGTGGACAAAATTCTGTGATGACAAGGTCAGGTTTCTGATCAAATAAAGCAATAGTCACATAAACAGAGAAAAAAATGGAAGATAATAGCTGATAAGTTGTATAGGTCAGTTCCAGTCATTCTTACATCCTTATGGACAATTTGATTGATTTCATGGTCTCTACCTTTTCTATTTGTTTCTTAGGTTATTTAAATACATAAGGAATTGAAAAAAAAAAATCCATGAAAAATGAAGGGTATAATATTTCAGTTGCTAACTTTTCAAGGGACCACACTGATTTTGAAGTTGAAATTCTCAGGTGTTAAAAAATAAAAGGACTTGTGCATCTTGGAAATAAATGGATATAAAAGGGTATTAAATATCTTTGTATATGCATATTATAAAGGACTTCTGGTGGTGTAGTGGTTTAAGGCATTTGGCTGCTAACCAAAAGGTCAGTGGTTTGAACCCACCAGCCACTCCACAAAGAAAGATGAGGCTGTCTTCTTCTGTAAAGACATACAGCCTTGGAAACTCAATGGGAGTTGCTAAGAGTCAGAATCAACTCAATGGTAGTGAGTTTTGTTTGGATATTTTATGTATATTATACATATATTTTGGGAGCTTTGGTGGTGTAGTGCCTAAGGCATTTGACTGCTAACCAGAAGGCTGGTGGTTCAAAGCCACCAGCCACTCCTCTGAAGGAAGATTGGGCAATCTACTTACATAGCGATATCGCCTTGGAAACCCAAGGAGGGGTTGCTATGAGTCAGATCTGACTCGATGGCAGTGGGTTCTATGTATATTTTATACATAATGATAAGACACTCTAGTATGATAGGAAATAAAAAGCCATGTTATAGTGAAAATTACCTCCTTTGTGAGTCAGCCATAAAATTACTTTATAGAAAGACAGAATTGACAAAGTTATCTAAATAATGGCAGAAAGATAACTTAGAAAGAGAGCTGAGAAAAGTACTATTAGTCCATGTTTGGGTCTGGAAGGCAGGATAAGACCTGTGAGTAATTCTGCCTAAGTAAGCCAAATAAGTGACATAGAACTAGGATAATTGGAAGCAACATTTTCCAGAAACACTGGCCTGATTTTTGTTCCTGCTGGTCCTTTAAAAAGATCAAATAAAAGGAGAAATGACAAATTATATTGTAATGAGAGGTGCTATGAGGGATTTAGACAGGAGCAGCAATACATGTGGGGCCTTGAATGTTGTAAGGATTACAAAGCAGAAGAACACCAATTCATGAAGTATTTATATAGGGGAAATTAGGAGTTCTAGACCAGGAGCTCTGGTGGTGTAGTGCCTAAGGCATCTGACTAACCAGAAGGCTGGTGGTTCTAAACCCACTAGCCACTCCTTGGAAGGAAAACTGGGCAATCTACTATCTGTAGAGATACCACCTCAGAAACCCAAGGAGGGCTTGCTATGAGTTGCATCAGCTCGATGGCAGTGAGTTTTTTTTTGTTGTTGTTTATTTGTTTAGTGAAAGACTGGGTCCCTGTGTGGCAAAAATGGCTAAGCACTAAACTATAAGCTGAAAAGTTGGTGGTTTGAACTCACTCAGAAGCACCTCAGAAGTCACACCTGGCAATCTGATTCCAAAAAAGTCACAGCCATGAAAATCCTATGGAACAGTTCTACTCTGCACACACACAGTTGCAATGAATTAGAATCAACTCAACAGCAATTAACAACAGTGAAATATTAAAAATAATAACAACCTTCAATATTTATACACTGTTTTTGACTTTCAAGACATTTTATCTTCATTATGTCATGTAATGT